ACTGGATGAATTACCAAAGAATCTATAAGACCAGCGTGTTAAATTCAGCTCATCACTGCCTCCCAATGTTTGTGCTTTTTCTCTTTCTGTGCTTGGTCCTCAGGGGCCGCCCTAAATCCCAGAAGTTTCCAATGCACTTGAACTCTATATATGACACCTGGAATGTACGTACACACAAAGCTTTCTTTGGCAACATTTTGAAGACCCGTCTCTCCTCTTTAAAGTAATGCTGCACTGAAAAAATATCAATTATGTATCAAATACACACAGATGCAAACTTGATGAGTAGCATTTTGAAAGTATGCAGCTTGCTCCTTCTGAGACGATGGCAGCTGCAGTCAGCTTGGAGGCAGGAGTTACAAAGGCTTTCCAGCACAAAAGAAAAACAACACAAAGACAAGTTTTTGAATCACAATGACCATAAAAACATATTTACAGACTGACAAGTAACCAGAGTTACGCACATTTTTTACATTCTTATGGACATTTTAATGAGTTTGTCCCGTTGTTTTGTTGCCACTTTGCACCTCCATTGGACTCTTTTGAATCCAGGATGACTTCAGCCTACGTACTCTGAGAGAGGGCAACGTACTTACTTTTCACAGTCACATTTGAAGCCTGCAGATGTCAAGGCAAAGCAAGCTTTATTTATAGAGCACATGTGAATAAATGGAACCTCAGTGTGCTTTATATTTAAAAGGAGTCATAAAAAACACAAGGCATATACAATGCCATGGCTTAGAGACACACACATATCTACCCACATACATATGCAAATACTCTAGGAAGGTCACGAGATGAAAAAAATACAGCTTGACGCCAATGCCAACCTTGTTCATAGGCTTGAAAAGACAAGAATGTTTGGAGCTTAGCTTTATATTTAGATGGAGTTTTTATGTCAGAAGGACCCATGGGAACTAAAAGCACTTTTGCTTGTGCACAGAATAAATGCAGGTACAGAGCCATTGTCTGGGTCTCATTAGTGTGGGCTGAACCAGTGCACATTTTTCATTAAATGGGTAGCCAGTGAAGTTTTTAAAATGTAGCAATCTAATCTGTTGGGAAAAGATAAATCAGGCAATTCTTGTAATATCAGAACTTATTCGCTGCCATCTCTAATTTTATCTGTATTGCAGTTTACAAAGTGTCAGTTGGGTTAAGGTCACTGAGGGAAAGAAACATATAGAAACATACAGAGTTTAACTGGTAGGATATGCAACAATTCCTGATATTAGTCCAAAAATGGGGTCATGTATAGTTTAAAAAGTAGTGGGCCCGTGATTGACCCTTGTGGAACACCAGAGATAGCTTGAAGCTATTCTAAATGGATACAAATAAGCTCCTGTCTTTGAGATAAAAGTTTTTTGTTCTCTCATTTGCTCGTGCACACATTTGAATACTTCTATAAATTACTTAGAATTAATCATTCCATTTATTTATACGCAAAAAGATCAGAGGACGCATAAACTCTGAAGAGTAATAACACGTAGAGGGTGCATAGTTGTACACTAACGACAATGAATAATTCACTGTGGATAGAGACTAGTTGGAATTCTCATTTTTTCCTACATAGCTTTGAATTGTTTTTAGATCTTGACACTGTCACCTTGGTTGATATTGTTCAGTCATTATCAAAGTTCAGATTGAATTTGTGCAGCAACGTATGCTGTGTGCTTGTTACAACTCACACTGATCATTAATGGCAGAAACAATGTGCACTTTCGTTTTAGTGGCTCATTAGATACATTCTCTCCTATTCAGGTTTGTGTCAGAATGTTTCGTGCGTGTTGTTTGTCTCTGCTAAAAACAGATGGGATATTTTAAGCTGTAAACACATCTGTCTCCCTTTAAATCATGTCACAATGCTGGGGTTGTAACTTCCAGAGAGTTACATCATTCTCATTGGTATACAACTATGCAGTTGTGCAACTATGCATTAGATAGTTAAGTTAAGTTATAAGCTACCTTTGCTATTGCTTAAAGGACAAGGTGAGGATTATAATGACATGTATAAATTGTTTGATATGAGGAATGCAACCAAACATCTTTTCGTCAGGCCACACACAAATACTTGCAGGTTCCAGGTATTGATCCTCATTGAGTCACTGCTCAGTTGAACATAATAAGAGATGAGAAGCATTGGGTTGACAAACAGTAGTGGAAAAGCTGAAGGTCTAAATGTCCTGCAACAGGCTGCCGATGTCCTCTTTCACAAAGTCGTGCAGCTTTGGCAGTACGGCTTTTGTGATGTGGTGACTTAAGCTCCGACACACTGGGAGAATGACAAAATGCTGTATTATCTACAGCTGACAACAGCTGGTCATCAACAGCACTGAGAATGAGCTTCTGTTATTTGTACCGACTCTCGGTTGTCTCCGGACATGTCCTCTGGCTTCTGGAGTGTTTGTTGCAAAGTTGGTTGTTGCTGTTTCCGGCTGCTGGCAAATTCCTCTCGTATTACTTGTATTAAAGGAACTATTTTTCATTCTTCATCCTAAAGATGTAGCATAGCTCACAGTCTGCTTTAGTCATCATCGCTTATCCTAAAATACTCCAAAACTGTTGACCGTCTTCATTAGTATCCATTAAATGATCCGAAAGGAACTTAAACTTCACAGGCTGTACAGAAGTAGAGGTTTAGTCCTGCATTCATATACCACTCTCATGATGGCAGCGCACATGGACACAGTGGCCCCTTCAGGAGACAGCGAGAGTGAACGTTTAGTGTCTTGCCTATCCCAGACATGCATTCTGCAAAACTTACTAATTAAATGATCCTGAAGAAACGCTCTCTCATCTTGCCTGTACCACTGTGTATGTACAGCAAAATGACAATAAACTTGATTTGATTTGAAACTCACAATGCACACATTAAAATAAGAAACCATTCTTCCATGTCAACCGCTGACACATGTATTACTCAACAGCTGAATTCAGGTGTCCCAGCCATCCATTATCTATATACCGCTTAATCCTCAATAGGGTCGCGGTGGGGGCTGGAGCCTATCCCAGCCGACTTAGGGCGAAGGCAGGGGACACCCTGGACAGGTCACCAGTCTATCACAGGGCCACACTTAGAGACAGACAACCAAGCACACTCACATTCACACCTACAGACAATTTAGAATCACCAATTAACCTCAATATGTTTTTGGACTGTGTGGGAGGAAGCCGGAGAGAATGAATTCAGGTGTGCAACCTCTAATATCCACAGAACTCTGTTGCAGTTTCAGTGTCTCCTTAAACACTTTGAGGGCTGTCTGCTCTGTTTTTATCTGCAGAACATCTCAGTAGTAATGGCTCAGCTATAACACTAACAGCACAAACAGAAATGCGTATAAATGAGTCCAACTGTTCTGTGAATTGATCATCAAAGTGTAGGTGATGACAGGTTTCTTTCTTCTTTTTGTCTCTCTGTCTCTGCTTACACTCAATAACTAGCTGTGCAGTATGATGTGAAATTAGACCGAGAAATAAATCTTAAATTAAGTTTTGTCTAAATGCAGAAATTTACAAGTATTTGCAAGTGAACTACAGCACCAGATCACACACACATGCTGAGTAGAATCGTAGCGGGCTGTCCTTGGCAACTGTGCCGGTGCTGGAATGCAACACAGACGGAGGCTTTATGCTGTAGCCTCAAGTCTATAGACTCAAACGGAGATGAGGAGTGATCTCATTTCTTTTTAACTCCACTCCCCCAGATCTTCCTTTTTCACATTTTCAGACTCATTGTCCTCATCCTCGGAGGTTACATTTATTCATTTGGCAGATGGTTTTGTCCAACGAAAATGAGGCAAAATCCATCACTCTGCAGAAGAAGCCATCAAAAATAAGAACCTCATCGGTTTCACTTTCCATCCATTTTTTAAAGATGCTTTCAGGTGTGCACTCAGTGGAGTTCCACTTTAAATCTGTTCCCTAAGGTAACTGTTTTGTATGTCTTTGTCTTAACAGGAGACATTTATTCACTCACAGAAAACAAGTTTGTACTGGAGATCTCTTTGCTAGTTTTGTTTTTCTTTAAACACAATCCAACTGGGACTTTCTTTGTTGTCTACACTGTTAGCTCTCTCTGCTACTATAAGGAACTTTATTAATATTTTAAAAAACACACACACAAGCAGCACAGTGCAGTTCCTCTGTAACCTCAACCTCTACTTACATTTTTGAAGAAGTTGTCTGTGGTGCAGCTTCTGAACCAAGACGCACAGCCACAGTAGCACCACATACAACTTTGGTTTCAGTTAATCTACCGTATGCTTGTTATGCAACATGGCTAGAAAACAGCTCAGCTCCATCAGTAAGAGATCGCTCTTTAAAATTTATAGGCTGACAATGAAAACCATTCATATTTTACTTACCTCAGATGTCAGTGGATTTCTTCATCGGATCAGATTTATTGCGCTCGTGTGTTTGTGTGACCTAAGACTCGTGTGTCTGCAGCGACAGTTCATTCGTCACTCAGGGATGAAATGTGAGAGGCACACAATTCTGTGGCTGGCTGCCTGTTCAGCTACATGGTAATGGGTCAAAATCAAAGTCATGTCTAAAAACAAACAAAACACTTGTACGATTACTTTGAAATGATTGTTTTTCCCGAATTGCTCTCCAGTCGACCTTCACATCCTTTAAAGAGACTTTGGGATTGTCTGGAACACACGAGAGAATCAAGCAATCAAAGCTAAAACTTCAAATGCAGCCGACAATCAAACCACCACGGTCTAATGTGTGTGCTTAAAAATCCAAGCTCAGTTTAATGACTTGTTTTTTTTTCTTTTTTTATA